GTGAAGTTTATACAAGCGTTTATATAAAAGTTGAGAGTTATGTCACCCTTCTGACACCTGACCAAAGTTCACATACCATTTTTTTTAGTAAGTGTAGGGTGATAAGTATTCCACGAAACTTGCTACAAATAAGATTGGCTACAGTGACCGATATTTAAAAAATTGTTTTGTTTAACATACTGCTTACGAAACTGGAGTGTTTCTGTATCTAATAAAACAAACAATGTCATTATAGCTTTAGTAGAACCGAAGATGTTCAAAATTGTGATTTATGACAATGGAGTGTCAAGTTACACCTGCTGTCCTGGATTCGGCTTCCCCGTGTGATACATGCTCTTTATTTTTTTATTATTTTAAATGTTTAAAATTTAATAAATGTTCTCAATATAATTACATAGATTGGTTTTTGTTTAGGTGATATTATCTGGCTGTACACCAACAAATAAGTTCACATCTAGACATAAATAATCTCGCCAAACTCCACATCTGTATAGTAAGTCTATGGGAGACTTTTTTTTTGCCGTTAATTGGCTTTAAAGTTCTTGTTTATACGCATTTACTCTCTACTTAGTCATTTCTATCAATATCAACCAATGAGCGTTTTTCTCAGAACCATCAGTTTAGGATTTCCCTGTGAAGAATCTCTTTCAAAGCCACGTGATCTAAGTCAGAACGTTAACAAATATTGAGAAATAGCTGTTTTCTTCCTTTTTGTTGTTGTAATTTACTAGTTTTCGTGTTATTTGACTTTATTTAAACCAAAATATTTCTTGTCCAAAGCTTTCAGTCAAAAAATTTACTGGAAAACTCATTACTTCCGGATGTCGCGTAATCGCATGAAAAATTATGTAATCCGTTATTATGGTCTATTATTGTAAAAATCGTTGAAAAAATATGTAAAAAGTGTCAAATATTCACTATTTGAAATAGAAAAATAAGTTTACATGTTGAGTTATTTTCGCATTCTAGGATATCAAATTAGATTGTGCCCTTTCGTATCGCGATATATGTCACAATGATAGGCTGAAATTACCAAACTATATATTTTTCGTTTTAATGTTTGTTATAGCGTTTGATTTATATAACTACAAATTCTTTATTCGTCTACTGTACACAATTTAAAAAAAAAATTTAAATGTTTTAGATTGGTCACTCGATGCGATAAATCTTTGTAAATATAAATGAAATACTACAATATATTATAATAGAAGGATTAGATGTACGAAATAATCTAATAATCTTAATCGTTATTGTTATTTTTTGCCCGGGCAGTGCCGAGCTCGTCTACTAGTGTTATTAATAACTTTCAACTAACTTGTAAGTCGTACCCAGTAAAGCTAAAATATATTTTTATGAGTAAGTAGGAAAGAATGTTTGGAAATGTTAAAAAGTATTCTTTTGTACGAGAATTTATGAGAACCTGGGGCACCCATTGGTGAATTGAAAATCCACGAGAGACTCCCACTAACATGAGCTTTTTTACCCATTTTCAATTGTATTTATTATTATCAGAAACTTTGTTATTTACATAACCTAAAAGTTACATACCTAACAGTTATATACAGAATATATAACTGTTAGGTATAGTAAAATGTTTCTTATTATTTTTATTCTTCCAACTTTACGTAGGAAATTTAGTGTATAAAATCACAATACTAATTACAATTGCACAATTAAAGACGAACAAAACCAAACAAACATTAATTAACATTTTCGATATTTTTAAAGTGTTTATTTTTAAACGAATAATCATACAGAAATAAGTAAAGTAAAAGAAGAATTATTTATTACTAGCTGTACCCGGCCACGCGTTCCTGTGTCTCAAAATGTATCTATTATAAATGTATAACACACCCCTGCGGAGAGAATTCCGAAAAACCTTCTTAGTGTACATTCTTTTGACGTACCCTGTTAAAGCACAACCAAAACCGCAAAAAAACCGCATCTAAAATAGTATAATAGAAGCCGAGTTCTTCACGATCAGCCTTAATCTGTCCCTCTCCGCTGCGGGGAGGGGAATTTCAACATCTATATAATGTAAAAACGCGTGTATTCGAATGCAACGTTGTGTCAAAATTTTAAAGCAATCGATTAAGAACTTTCGGGGATTTAAGATTTTGAACAAACGAACATTTAGATTTTTATTTATATAGATTTAGTATTAGATAAATATGCTTGTATTAGACATGAGATGTTTCTCAATTTTCCGAGGATGATTCTGTCAATAGAGCAATTATAAGTTCATCCCCTTCAGATAAACACTTCAGAGGAGCAGCTCGAAGAGTCACGTTCTGATGTATCGGGAATTTTGTTTATTTCGTAGCTAAAATTTGAATTATTGGACGAAATCTCCTGAAAGATTCCATTTCTTTCCATTTTGATTAAATCATATGTTCCTTTAGTAATGACATTTTCGTATGCACTTTCTGTCCATATGTGTACTTTTTGCGCTTTTTCTTTATTAAAACGTCTACCGATCTTAAATTAAATGTCCTTTATCATTTATATTATCTAATTTCTCTTGCCTGTCTCTCTAGCATTTGGCAATTTGTACTGTCTTCTATGAATCCCATTCGTTATTATATGGAATTTAGCTAAGAATATCTTCATTCTGAATTAAAACCCTAACGAAAATTTATTAAGTTTAATAAAAGTCACAGTTAATCCCGTGTGACGTAATATTTAATTTCGTTTTAAATATCTAACACCAAATTTACATTAAGTTTAATGTTGTTGCTTTCATCTATTTACAGTACTTTCAGAACATGCGAAAGTGCAAAACGTACAGAAACATCTGTTGAATTTCATGAAAGTGTTTGAAGTGAAAATAACTTAATATTATTTTTACAACTATAAATTTTAAAAATAACCCTAATTAACATTTCAAATAATTTATTAAAAATTGAAACTTGAATTTTTCTACGATTTTTTAAATATCTACTGCTTAATATACAAGGTAAGATGGATGGATGGCGCACATGCTAGAACTTCACCTGTATTTCGAAATAATGAAAAAATACAATATAGTGAGCCAAAGAACATGTTTGAACATCTGAATAGAGGAATTCATAATCAGGAGCGATGAGAAATATATATCACTATTTGTTAGTAATGGATTAAAGTTTACCATGTGAAGAGAAAAAGAAATTTAAAGGCAAAGTACCCAGTGCATTATTTGTAGGGTATAGTGTATTCAGAAATATGTAAAGGGTTACAGGAAAGAAACAACGCACCTATTAAATTTCTACTACAGGTAACCCCCGTATAACACGGGAGTTACGTTCCAAAAAATTGCCCGTGTTATACGAAACAAATGTGAGAAATAGACCGAGTTAATTAAAAATAAAATGTTTAATATTAAACAATCACTTATTATTAACATCGAAACTCTCAGTTTTTCTTTGTGTTAAAATTCTCCCTGGGAGGAAATCTATCCTTCCGTGCCCCGGAGTGACTTCCTTTCCCAACGGAACCCGAAACTGAATCACCCGGACATCTTTTAAAAAAATCTACGATTGGTGAAACCCGGCCACGAGACCCGAAGGTATAAAAGACCAGGTGCCGCACGGAAGGGGGGTTCGATTTCGTTTACCCAGATCCAGGACGCCACCCGACCGCCACGCCGACGAACCCTGGGACGCTCCCGAGAAACGACCGCATACCTACCCGATCAGGAGCCTCGATCCGAGTAACCCTTCAAGCAAGACATAGACCGAAAGTTCATCCGAGGTATGACCCGATATTGTACACTCTCTCTCGGCGCGGTCCCTTCGAAAAACGCGCAAGTAGTTAGTCATTGTATGATAGGATTAGGTTGTCTGAATAAATGTTTGTTTGTTTATTAAAAGGTCGTCTTTATTTCGGGTATCGTTAACGCTTTACCGTCGACCCCTCTCACTTCCTCCACTCGACCTGACAAAAGAATCCCGACTGTACGGGATAGAAAAAGCACTTTCTAAGCCATCCACTGACCAGTGGGCAGTTGTCACCCAACTGTTGCCTATCAAAAAGAGGTACGACCTCGTCCTACCTCAGGCTACCCACAAATTGGTTTTTCAGGAGTGGGGTTCGACTTTCTCGAGATATCGGTAAAGCAGGAAAAAGCGATATTCGAGGTAAAGGAGCGATTATAGTCGAATTAGGGACTGGTAGATTAGGAGAATTGCTAGAAGAGGTATAAGAGATAGATTTAGGACTAGGAGACATGATGGAGGGCGATCCACAACCAGCGGCTGCGGCAGAAAACCCTAATCCTAATCCAAATCCAAATCCTACTCCAAGCCCAATCACCTTGGGAGGTCTGGGAGGAATAATTCCCTTATTGCCAGTATTCTCCGGAGAAGCGGGAGGTCTCCGAGTAACAGATTTTTTTGATTCATTGGCCGATGTCACGAAAGTAGCGGCATGGTCCAAAGCGCAAATGTTGGCGGTGGCCAAGTTAAAACTTACCGGGATAGCTCGGGAGTTTGTACGAAAGGATCGTAGAATTAAGGAGGTAGATGATTTTGAGGAATTTAAACGAATAATGTTAACCCGATTCGACAAAGAGCCCTTTTCGTTCCGATTAAATAGATTTTATACGTGCGTACAAAGGAAAGATGAGGACGTACAAACGTACGCTGCTAGGCTTCAAGCGTTAGCTATGGAGATTGAGATTACGCCGGAACCCGGAGCAGATGACGCTGAAACGGCAATGATTCAGAGAATTCAGCGAAAGGAACTAGACGAACGATTAAAAGTACAATTCCTAAACGGCGTTGATATTCGAATCCGACAACGTATCATGTCCAGGGAGCCAGTTACATTTGATGATGCGTTAGAAGCGGCGATTAGCGAGGAATCAATTGAGGAACTTACCGCACATCCCCGTGGGATCATGCGCACTGTTAGGGAAAGCGAGAGATCACCGGATTTCCGCTCTAGAGACAATTTGGAGCAATTAACCACCGCGATGGAGGAACTTAAGGCCAGAATGGATAGGTTAACACGAGGATCATCCTTTAATAATGCAAGAAACCCTATAGTACGACAAAATAATCGTGGAAATTATAATAATCCACCTTTCCGGCGAAACGAATATCATCCGGCTGCACCCACTCACCGATTAGA